ACATGTATGCAACATGAGTGAAAAAATATGAAATCATAAATAAAAAAATTAAAATAAAGTTATGAAATGATTAAAAAAATAAGAGGACAATACTATAAATAAAATGAACTTACATAAAACTTCTACTGAGAGTTTCAGTTTGCCTACGAGTAGAACTAGAACTTCCCTCTTACAGACTCAAAATACTACTGGACTCTCCCAAGCAAATAACAATTCAAATAAATTTGAATAGGATAAAATGAACTAAAGTTACACTCCCCTACTTACAAGAGAAAATTTGATTACCCATGGGAACAACCACACTAATATCCAAATATGTAAAACAATAAAAATGGCAAGGTGAAAAATATAGCAAGATTCCCATTAAGCTTTTATGACACTAGATTCAAAACACATACACACGAGCAAAGAGAAGGCGAAAGACTATCTTTTAAATCTCAAAATGAAACTTTGGGCATATTTCAACAATAAATGCCACTGCAAACAGCCAAAAATCCAAAAAAAAAAAAATTTGCGTGCATCAAAATGAAATTATCAAATTTAAATGTAATTTGTAGTGGTGGAGCCAGAAAATATATTTAGGAGGGGGGGTGGGGGGCTAAATTAATTTTTTTAATCTCTCAACCTTTTACATCCAGATTTGGGACCGACATAGGCAATTTTAATTTTTTTTTTCAAATTATTATTTAAGAATGTAAAATATTAAATATAAAAAAATAAACAACTTACAATAAAAGAAAACTTTGGTGGCATAGAAAAATTAATTTAGCTACTTTGGAAGTAAAAAAACTTCCTCTATAAAATATATATATTTGAAAAATAGCTTAAAAAAGTAGCAAAAAAAAAAAGATTATTGTTTTAATAGCAAAGCGGTTAGAAAATTGTCCCAAATAAACCCTAATTATATAATATTTATTAAAGTTATATAACATAAAGTTATATGATATTTTTTTCAAATTAAAAAAAATAACATGTAAATTTTTATTATATTTAAATAGCATGAAATTACATATATAAAGAAATTAAAAAATAATAAAGCAATAGCTTTAAAATATATGATAAAAGAATAAATTATAAAAGAAAAAAGTCTCATATTAGAAGTGAAAAAAGTCACATGATTACATGATCAATAATTGAATTATTGATGTAGAAGAAAAAGTATAAAAGAAAAGCATGTAAATGCCTCAAGAAGCGTGTAACCATCTCAAGAAGTGTGCTACTACCTTGAGAGACATATAATTTTATCAAGCGTACAGACTCCTTGAGAAGCATGTTGACTCTAGAAATGAATTATCACCCCCATAAGGCTCCTGTCCCAGAATCTAATTTGGAAAGAATTGTATCTTTTATTTTTTATGATAACAATCAGAGCTATTTAATTTCTTTCAATAAAATATATATCAGTGGAAACGATTCTATAGATCAAAATACCAATATAAATTTGAATTCATTGCTCTAAAAATCATGTATAATATTCAAGAGTCATACAAATACAACCCATATTCTCACTTCTAAGTACAAAAAAATAACTGAAAGACAAAAGGGCAGAAAAAACTTGAAGACTCATGTCAGATCAATTTCATACTCCCGATCCTCACCCATGAACTGAAATAATTAAGCCACATATAATGAACTAAAAAATCCAATGGGTTACTAAAACCCTACTACTATACTTAAAGTACCGAATATAAAGTGTATGCATAAGAGATCTAAAGATAAGAATTTGAAAAGAAAAAAAAAAAGAAACTTTATGTATGGAATCACAAACTCAATATGATCATGAATTTGTGCAGAAACAGTAAAACAGACATGCCATAATAATAAAACCTATAAAATAATAAACCAGTATGATATGGAGGCCAGTAAAATAGTCGAGTACGAAAATAATGAAATCTATAAACCAGTAAACCTAGTACAGATGTCAAAACATTAATGCAGTAAACAATCATTCTTAAATCATACGTCGTAGTAGTATTATTCAATCAATAAGAAAATCATATAAATCAATTAAACTGAAGCATCTATAAAGACTCGGTATTCCTATTAATGCAGTGCTATCAGAAAATCGTATAAAAGTATACACATGATATTTAGTTATTCTATATTAGTATCTTATATCACATGCCAATAACAGGAATCACGTACTCAGTAACAGTAAAACAATATAGTGACAATAAATTAGTATAATAACATTCATTTCAGTAATCACACTAAACAAGTAAGATGTTTTAACTTTTGTGGTGTTGTTCTAGTAACCAGCAAATCAATAACCATTGGCTCAATAAACAAAGTCGTCGCTCTTTGCCCGTCGGCACAGTAATCATATCTTTATAGGTTTCAATTAGCAAATCACGTGAATCAATTGATGATAGCACTAAACTACAATATTTAAAGTAAAGTCTGTCGGCTCACTATCTTGTACAGATAAATCAGTCTCCAGCCAACGTCAATAAATAACCAACCTTTACTTATCCTCGTGTATATTATTATAAAATTATAAACATATTATTACAAAATCAATAGCAACCAGCTATTATCCAATCATATGCTCATATTCATTCAAAATGATTGTATTAGCAATATGCTTGTATAAAAATATCAAAAATTCCTATTATGTACAAATTGCACAAAATGTAAAAATTACCATTCTAGTCGATGGAATTACAAAATCAACCAGTCAAAATATTTAGAATAATCAATGCTACAACGAACAAAAAATTACACGATGGACGTTCACTAAACCAGAAGAAAATACTATATAATCAATTTGAGAAAAATTGAATGATTGAAATCAAAATCCTTCAAAAGTCAAAACAAAAATAGGACAAAAGTCACCTATAATGATCTGAGCAATTTTTTTTAAATGACAAATGAATTGGCGACCAAAATCTAGATTTCTCTTTCCTCTCTCCACTTTTCCTTCTCCCCTTCCTCATTTCCTTCCACAGCATGCCAAAAATGAGAGAAAAAGCCGAGTGGAGAGAAACATATATATATATAAAATAAAACTCATTTTAGTGCGTAGAGCCGTGGCGATGCGATGCATGCTGAACCTAGAATTACTGTAAAACAGAGCCTTTAATACCGTGCTGACAATTTCTAACGTCGCTGCGCTCACAGGCATAGCGCCGTTACGCTCCAGTTCAGCTATAAATTCATATTATTATTTTAAGTTTATTTTAATACCTATAAGGTTGTTACAATAACCGTGCAACTATTGACTCTAAAAGCACTAAAAAGCAAGCAAATATTCCGAGCAAAGGCATTGAAAAGCATACAAGTGCAATCTATAGGAGCATCGAAAAGAGCATAAATACATTAGGTTGTGCGCAAGTGTGTTGTGCAAATGCATCGAAAAGTAGGTAAGTATACCGTGTAGACATATCATAAAGCACACAAGTACATTAAAAGGCGTGTGGTTGCACTGTACAAATGCATCAAAAAACATACATGCTATCCAAAAGATACATCAAATTGTCAAAGTTAAATTATCATATGAGATTTGACCAAACACATCAAAGTCCTAAATTTGATATATGAGAATGTTGTGCAAGTTAAAAATAATGAATAAATTTAATTTTAATGCATCTCAAAAATATAAGTTTCACAAAGTTCACTATAAATCTTATTTTCTCAAGTGAACATGCTACTATGAAATAGGCAAAGATATTTGATTTTACGTTCACATTAAGCATTCAATGCTTTTTTTTTAAAGAAATTCGTCACAAAAATGCAAACTCTTAAGTTCATAAGATGAAACTGTTATGAAATACTTGAGTTCGCAAGTAACCCTAAGGGAAATACTTGAGTTCGCAAGCAAACCTACACAATTGGTGCAAACAATGAGTAAAACTGTTGTTTACATCAGAAAAACAACAAAATACAACAGGTTTCTTGGGAAAAACAGAGGAAAAACTGATAGAAAATGAAGTATTCCACTAGTTGTTGTAGGAAAACATCAAAAGATACAAGTTTCTTCAATTCGAGAGGAAGAAACAGCTCTCCAAATCTATAATAAAGTCTAGAGCCCAAAAGAAAACCCTAGATCCCAAATCTGATTTCAAATTCAAGATAATCTCAAAACCTAACAAAAAATCCTAATTAAAGCAAAAGGAAAATTATTTAATCCCTAAACAGCCCCTCATTCAAAATTTCCCTCCCAAACCTTGCTTAATTTAAGCCATCGAGCCCACAATGCTGCCGCCCAACCCCTCATCTCTGCCTCCTCCTTTGGATCGGCGAGAATAAACATGAACCGGACCAGGATGGACCGATTTAGGTCTAACATTACCCCCATCCCAAAGACTCACCTTGTCCTCAAGGTGAAATGAAGGAAAGTGGTGTTTAACCTTCTCATGTGGTTCCCATGTGGCGTCAAACTCAGGAAGCCCCTTCCATGCGATCAACACCTCTTTATTTCCTTCCTTGTCATATCTCACTTCTTTTAGCTCCCGAGATTCTAAGATCACCTCCATCTCTTCAATCAAAATAGCAAACAGCTCTAATATTAATAATCGTCACTAAACGTAAGCATTATAGATTGACTTCACAAAGTGATGCATAATATCTGTTAAAATAAATAATTTTCATTATCCTAAATTAAACCATAATTTAATCACCTTCATTGTCACAGTATACACAGCAGCAAAATAAAATCAATATAAAATTTGAAAGAAAGCAAACAATATGAAGAAGAAAATGTAGGAATGAATCATCATGATGTTGAAATGTCAAAGCAAGAACAGCAGACACCAAAATAAGGAGAGATTATTAGGTGCGGAGTTCCGACATAGAGAACAATTCAATTTTATGAATGCGAACAGTAAAAATGTAGCAGTGAACACTAACTACGCTTTAACTATTCGCAGTCACAAAACCGAACGGTTCTCTATATCCGTTACTTGATCTTGAAATTTCAAATTTGCTAGTCAAAATATTTGAAATAGAGAGTACTACATCATACAGAAACTTGTGTGGAGGAAAGTCGATAAAACCCGAATAAAGTGATTAAAACCCAATAATTATTGTATTCCAATCAAATTGAAAAAAGCAGCTGGATTGACTCTAATTGCAATAAAAAGACATGATCATAACCTCAAGCATAACTTTGTGATTAAAAATGTTTCAGCAGGGCTGATAGTTCTCAAATGAACAGTACCGCTAATGAAATATAAACAGATAGCAGTAGAAATAATCATCATCACAGTAAAAAAATGTCAGAATCACCAGCAATCGCTAAAATCTGCATCAACTTCCGGCCATGCTGAGCACCTGAAAGTTTTGTAAATACAACTCTCGCGGTTCAATTAACTGAGCACAAACTGAAATCAGATATTGAAAGTGAGAGCTGCAGGATATACCAAACAGTATGTGCTCAAGGTAATCAGGGAGGACAGCAATGAAGCGGTGAAAATTAATGGAAGTATTCTCCACCAGTTCTGCAATCAACCTTCCCGATACACAAGGCGCCACCTGGGACAAATCCCATTGAGGCCAAGGTTGGGAAAGTATCTTTGGAAAAAGAGTTGCGAGAAGGTAATGTGCTACAGAGTGGATGATCACTTGCACCTCTGGGGAGGTTGGCTATGAAAGTTCAAGGACCTGTAAAAAAGAATCAAACAAATTGGATCAAAAGAACAATCATAGACACAACCAAAATCTGTTTCTTGATGCACTTTGTTGGCAGTAATAGCATAAAGCTTATTTTTAATTTTAAACGACTAAAACAGCTGCTGGGTGAAAAACCTATCACCCCATCCACAATCAAGGATGCGCCAAACTCAAATGAGTTGTGACAGCATCAGTTGGAACCACAACACAAGCTAGTCTAGCATATGCATACCACGTTATTATCCTAAATTTTTTGACGCTAATAGTTATTTTTGTTGGGAAGTAAGACCACATAATGAAACAAACAAAAAAAGAAAATAGCGGAAATGAACATCAGGATTTAATGTAAAAAAATTGAAATTGAAAAAAAACCATAGAGCCATACCACCAAAAAATTCACTATGAAAATTAGGAGAAATTATACAAACCTCTCTCTCTATCTCATATAACTTTTCATACACTTCTACTACATAAAGGGGCACAACCCTTCAAGTTAATGAAAAACGAGAAAGAAAATTGTCCAATTCGACTCATAGTGCCAGGGTTTGGAGCATCACGAAACTCCACTCTCTGTCTCCAGCTTGACTTGCAGAGCCGCGACACTGACTTTGGAGTGCTGCAGCGTTACGCTCTCTTTCTCCAAGTCAATAGTACAGTATCGCCGCGTTGCATTCTATGACATTATAGTGCACAAGTGTACAACACAATAGCGCTCTAATGTATAGCGTATGGAATTACTCTGGACTCTCAGGCGTTGCATAGAATTACTCTGGACTCTCGTCTAAATATCAAAATTACTCTAAACTCTTGTACAGGTATCCCATGCACGCCTTTATTGGAGCAATGATTTTTAAAAATTTAATTGCGGTGTCTTTAGACAACGACCTTGCACACTTTTTAGCACAGACAGACATGCATAAACTTATCGTAGATATCCCATATGCAAGGACGATGCCAGAAGGCCTCCATAATTTAGATTGAACGAGCTTAAGAAAATAATTTAAAGAGGAATCATGGACATGCATGCGACATGAGTGAAAAAATATGAAATCATAAATAAAAAAATTAAAATAAAATTATGAAATGATTAAAAAAAAAAAGAGGACAATACTATAAATAAAATGAACTTACATAAAACTTCTAATGAGAGTTTCAGTTTGCCTACGAGTAGAACTAGAACTTCCCTCTTACAGACTCAAAATACTACTGGACTGAGTGGACTCTCCCAAGCAAATAACAATTCAAATAAATTTGAATAGGATAAAATGAACTAAAGCTACACTCCCCTACTTATAAGAGAAAATTTGATTACCCATGGGAACAACCACACTAATATCCAAATATGTAAAACAATAAAAATGACAAGGTTAAAAATATGACAAGATTCCCATTAACCTTTTATGACACTAGATTCACAACACATACGAGCAAAGAGAAGGAGAAAGACGATCTTTTAAATCTCAAAATGAAACTTTAATTATATAATATTTATTAAAAAAGTAGCAAAAAAAAAAGATTATTGTTTTAATAGCAAAGCGGTTAGAAAATTGTCCCAAATAAACCCTAATTATATAATATTTATTAAAGTTATATAACATAAAGTTATATGATGTTTTTATCAAATTAAAAAAAAATAACATGTGAATTTTTATTATATTTAAATAGCATGAAATTACGTATATAAAGAAATTAAAAAATAATAAAGTAATAGCTTTAAAATATATGATAAAAGAATAAATTATAAGAGAAAAATCTCATATTAGAAGTGAAAAAAGTCACATGATTATGTGATTAATAATTGAATTATTGATGTAGAAGAAAAAGTTTAAGAGAGAGAGAGAGAGAGTACTAGAGTTAATCCATTCTCCCAACAAAATCAGCACCCCTCTTTTCATAGCCCATACTCATCTCCTCCCTAGAAAGTGATTCTAGAGGAGGCATTCTATCATCTCCCTCAAGGATCTCCACTTTTGGATTCTCCTTCCCCCTAAATGGGTTTGAATTTCTGCCTCTCCCATGGTCGCCGGTGGTCTCCTTTTCTTCCGATGTCGCCGGATTTTGTTAGTCTTCAAGCATCTTCTTCATCATGTCTTCCAAGGCAGAGAACCTTTCATCCATCTTTTCATGGATAGAAGCAAATTGATTCTAAAATCAGCGGTTTTTTCCTCAAAAAGTGTCTGTAGTTGACCTATTTCTCCCTCCAATACTTCAACTTTCCTTTCGGCCATTGATATTTCTTAGATCGACGAGCTCTGATACCAATTTGTTAGAAAATACTTGAGTTTGCAAGTAACCCTAAGGGAAATACTGAATTCGCAAGCAAACCTAACCACAATTGTTGCAAACAGTGAGTAAAACTACTGTTAAAAGCAGAAAAATAGCAAAATACAGCAAGTTTCTTGGGAAAAAACATAGGAAAAACAGATATAAAATGAAGTATTCCACTAGTTATTGTAGGAAAACAACAAAGGATACAAGTTTCTTCAATTCAAGAGGAAGAAACAGCTCTCCAAATCTCTAGCCAAGCCTAGAGCCCAAAAGAAAACCCTAGAACCCAAATCTGATTTCAAATTCAAGATAATATGAAACCCTTACAAGAAATCCTAATTAAAGCAAAAGGAAAATTACTTAATCCCTAAACAACCCCTCATTCAAAATTTCCCTCCCAAACCTTGCTTAATTTAAGCCATGGGGCCCACAATGCTGCCGCCCAACCCCTCATGTCCGTCGCCTCCTTTGGACCGGCGGGGATAGACATGAACTGGTCTAGGATGGACCGGTTCAGGTCTAACAGAAACCTTATCCTCCATAAGCAAGTGGGCAAAATTGACAATGTTCACATAAGAAAATCAAATATCCAAATACTTTGATGATGGTCGCATCGTTAAAAAAACATTAATCAGATGGAACCTTATTTTCAAAAATATTCTAAAACCTCGTAGCAAATCACTTCGGGTTTAAATAACAATAATGGACAAAAAAAATCTTAAAAAAATGATAAGTCAAAAGATCTATAAATAAAAACATCCTTATAAAACATAAAGCAAAAAATCCACTCCCCAAAATTATTTGAAAATGGTGATAAATTTGATGATAATCTTAGCTAACAAAAGCAAATGTCTTGTAAAATGTAATGATATCATGCTAATAAGGACGTAGCAAGTATAATATGAATGATGATTTTGCTGCCAAATGGCATCACAGGTAAATGATTATAACTACAGCCCACATCCGAATAGTTGTCTTAAAATAACACCATTAATTTACGATCATGGCAAGAGCCCGCAAGTTTCCCAATGGCTAAAAGTCCTAAAGTAATGAATAATACAATGCACTTGATTGTGCACAGAGCCCTCTGTTAGATAAGGTCAACATTCACCTCATACTTACAACATTCACTTGAACGAAGCTACTCATGGATGTTGACACAAATTATTTGATTAGGTTGAATAAACTATTTCCTTTGACTAAATAGACCATTATTCATGACAACCTAGAATGTTGAAACTATGGTATCTTGTTCGAGTTAGTCATCATTCCCCCTAACATCATCTTTAAGGTAAGGTGGTAAATTTTTAACCCTGAAATTTTTTGCTATTATACATTCAACACTTAGTGCCTATTTAATGGCTTGCCTTAATCAAAAGTTTTTTCTCATCACCGGGAGAGATAGTTAACCATAGGAGCTTAAGCCTTGCAAAATATTAGCAAAATTTTTTAGTAATGCCCTTTTTTTCAATCTAATATGTCTTCCAGAAATTGGACCCAGAAAACTAAAACTCTCTCGATAGAGCCTGAGCATAAATTTTCAGAGCCTATATATAGCTTAGCAAGTCAACTTAAAAATGCTTTATTGCTTTCTTGCTCAATACTCAAACTCATGAAGTATAGTTGCCCAGATTACAATTTTATAGGTTAATAATATAATCATAAAGCAAGTTTTTATCAAAATTAATTTGCACCAGTAAACACATATCGGGACATTGGATTCTTGGAGAAGAGTACTATTTTAAGGTTGATTGCATCAGATTCTCAAATAGGTTGTAACCAAGTCCAGTAGGATTGGGTATCAACCAAATGAAGAATCAAAATCCATTTTAACTGCTGTAAGACAATTGGAACTGGATCACAAATGAATTTAGACTGGAACTTACCTATATCAAACTAAATATATAGTCCAATTAACGCAAGCTTTGGCAGTCTAATTAAATTGGTTATGTTTAGTTCAGATGGATATGTATATATATAGCCAATTTAAGAATAGTTAAAAAGAGGCAAGAACTAATCCATTACTCTTTTTAGTGCTTTTCTGCTTGCTTCTCTACATAATAAATTACGTCAATTTTAAATTTTCATCAAGGCTACTTTTTCCTTTAAAAAAAGTTGCATTCAGTTAAATGAAATCCATAAGCATTAAATGATTCGAGAGAGTCGGTTCAAAAAGAACTTCAACATGAAAACGACCTAAAACCAACTCAAAGAACTAACAAAACCACTTAAATTTGTACACGAATAGCTTAGTTGATACTTTCAGTTGGGTGAAACTTACAGTCGTAGTTCTTAAATGATAATGGCATCGTAAGCAAAATGGGACCAGCTTGCTTGTTTACCAGGCTAGAAAATATTTCAATGATAAAACTAACAACCTATGCTGCACCGACACGGACACGGACACGGGACACGACATTTTTTTAAAATATAGGACACGGGTGCGGCGTGGACACGGCATAATAATTTTTAATATAATATATAGAAATTAAGATGACATTATATTAAAAATGACAAGCAATAATAAATCAATTTCATGATAATTTGTTTAGCTTATAACATAAAGATGTTTAGTACAAAATTGT